GGCATGGCCTTGGAAATGTAAACTCGCTGGATAGCGTATTCAGCAACTCATTATCCGCCTTCATGGAATAGTGCGTTGCATTTCTTTAAAAGTGCCATGAATGATACGGCAACACTGATTCTGAAAAGAGAGCATTAAGATGTGAGTGGAAGTTGCCGAGTTGAATGTTCAAGTCGTCAGATTCATAAAAAGCCCCATAGCACAATGAGATCCTAAAGAAAACACCTTCATCAGAAAAGTTTGGCTGCTGATTTTTTTTACTATTTCACTAATGCTATTTGAGCCTGATGGTCAAGTGACTAGCGCTCTGGCACTCGGTGCCACAAGTTTCGGGTTCGCGTCCCGGCGGTGCAATGGTTATTTGTAGTGGCTCGAATTCCACTTTAAACCGTAGGTCCCGGTCTAATATGACTGTAGAACGTTGGGCTGCCAGTCTACCCCTTAAAAAGATTATATCCCCTTTCTCGAAATCCGAAAGTAGGCAATGAAGAAGTTACGATTATAATGGTTCAGATTTTGTCCGCGCATTTAAGGTTTATAGTGGCAATTCTCAAACTGAAGACTGAAAAGGAATCAATTGGTAAATAATAGTAATTAACCTAAAATTTCAACTAAGTCCAGTTTCCCCCCCCCCCTTCTAAATAATGCTGATCATACTTTAGATGGCCTATTATTTTAATTAATAGGCTTATTTAATCTATATTTCCTTTATTGGCTAGTAAAACTAATTTCTGTAATGTTGTCAGTTTAACTTAAATTGATGTTAATTTACTATTTATTAAAATAGTTTTTCATTGTGTTTTATGTTAAGTTTTACTAATAATTTTTAAACAAAAAAACACTGATAAATCGATTTAAACAAATATATTATTAAGAGGACAAAATTTTTTTTTAACTAATAAATGGATTAATGGAGCTAAATATTTTTAAATAATAATTGTATTAATGGCAATAAATATTTTTAAATAATAAATGCATTAATGACAAAAAAATGTTTCTGATATTTCTTGCCTTGATTTGTACATATATTATATATAAAAATATTGCCAAATATTTACATTAAAAAGTAGGGAAAAAATACCTTTTTCTGTGAAACTTAAAAATTGATAACTACGATTTCCCATTTTTTGATTAAATAATTGTTTTTCAAAAAATTTACTTACTATAACTACATGTAACGCGTCATTATTAAGCAAAGTTTTTAAAATATTTCACGCATTGGAAAAGTAATCATTTTGGACTGACGTTGCATCGCAGCATTTTGTACGTCGTATAAAAATAAATAGTATTTCCATTTTTATTTTTATTCCCATAACTAAACTCTTTCCAATGCAAAAATTTAATTTCATTCATTTTTTTCAAGTGCAAAAAGATTTGTTGCTTAATGCGTTTAAAAAAGAAAAATATAGTAATTATTATTATTACAATCATTATGAGAGATAACGACTTTTCAAACTTTTTGCTTGAAGGAACCGATAAAAATTTTTTAAAAAAACATGCACATAAACTATTAAAAAAAATTACAAAAAAATTATGACTGAAAAACTTTTCTCAGCCACCTCGTAGAGAAAAAAATTATTATATCATATTATACAAGTAATGATACGCCTACTATACAAGGCGAAAGTTAAACTAACGCGAGTAAATGACCGAACTAATCGAGAATTACAGGGCTGATAGGATCAATCACGGTTTATGAGAAGCTTAATCGTTGTTTACAGGTAATAAAACAGCAGATTGAAATTAGATAATCAATAATGTTGTTTCGCATCTTGTTTATTTATCCTCTAGACGAAATGATGAAACTCGATATCGACGTATTCAAATGTAGTCAATATTCCCTACTAAAATGTATATTACAATGTAGATGTCCAAGTATACATTCTAATTTATTTGGATATACTAATAAAGCATTGATAAATATTATTGTATCTACCATACTATATTGATAAATCTACTTATGTTATACTAAATTTATAAATATAATATTAATGAATCTTATAATATATTAAATTGATCAATGATAATGAATCTACTTTATACTATACTGATAAATATTAATGAATCTACTTATTCTATACTATATTGATAAATATTAATGAATCTACTTATTCTATACTATATTGATAAATATTAATGAATCTACTTATTATATACTATATTGCTAAATATTAATGAATCTACTTATTATATACTATATTGATAAATATTAATGAATCTATACTTATTCTATACTATACTATATTTGATAAATATTAATGAATCTAATCTACTTATTCTATATATATTGATAAATATTAATGAATCTACTTATTCTATACTATATTGATAAATATTAATGAATCTACTTATTCTATACTATATTGATAAATATTAATGAATCTACTTATTCTATACTATATTGATAAATATTAATGAATCTACTTATTCTATACTATATTGATAAATATTAATGAATCTACTTATTCTATACTATATTGATAAATATTAATGAATCTACTTATTCTATACTATATTGATAAATATTAATGAATCTACTTATTCTATATCATAAATATTTAATATCTACTTATTCTATACTATATTGATAAATATTTGAATCTACTTATTCTATAATATTGATAAATATTAATGAATCTACTTATTCTATACTATATTGATAAATATTAATGAATCTACTTATTCTATACTATATTGATAAATATTAATGAATCTACTTATTCTATACTATATTGATAAATATTAATGAATCTACTTATTCTATACTATATTGATAAATATTAATGAATTTACTTATGCTATACTAAATGGATAAATATTAAAGGTTTGATCTTTAATGGGTTAAAATTCAATCCTCAAAAATAAAACTGAATAATATCAAACTATATGATATACCTATATCAATACTAATAAAAACGATGAAATATTAATATATTAAGTAAGATGAAGACAGCCTAGTAATTTAAATAAATATTGTAATAATTTTAATAATATACTTAGTTTTGTATTATTATTTTTCTAGTTTTATTTCTAAAACCAAAAACATATTAAAAACAGATTTAAATAGGCGATATAACTACATTATTTCGTCGTGAATCAGTACTTAAAAATATGCAACTCAACTCATAATGTTCACAGCTTTTAAATTTATCATTTTTCTAATTTTTTTAAAAAATTGTTCTTACAGAAATTTCATATTAATTCAATCAGAATTTTTTTTTATATTTTCAAAATCAATCCATATCAAATAACCAAATGGTTAAACTCTTAAATTTCATTGTGATTAAATCACAGAATAGCAAAATTTAAAAATGAATGGCGAATCTTTAATCAACAATCCAGCAATTTAGAAAAATGACGTTAGAAAAAATTTGCTCTTAAAGAAATCTCATATTAATTCAATGAACAATAATGTATATTAAAAATAAATCCATATTAAATAACCCAATGGTTCAATTCCTACTTTTCATAGCGACTAAATCACGAAATATCAATACTCAAAATCAATGGCAAATCTTTAACCAGCAATCAAGCAATTTAGAAAAATGACTTGTCAAAAAACTTTGCTCTTAAAGAAATTTTATATTAATTCAATAAACAACGCTTCTGTATGATCAAAATCAATTCATATCAAATAACAAAATGGTTCAATTCCTACTTTTCATAGTGACTAAATCACGAAATAGCAAATGAATGGCAAATATTTAATCAAGCCATTTAGAAAAATTACTCGTTAAAAAAAATTTGCCCTTACGGAAATTTCATATTAATTCAATCAGCAATTATTTTATATCATCAATATCAATTCACATCAAATAACCAAATATAATTCCTACTTTTCATAGCGACTAAATCACGAAATAGCAATACTAAAAATCAATGGTTAAATATTTAATCAACACTCAAGGAATTATAGAATTTTATTTAAACCGACGAGAATGCTTAGAAATCTCATCACACTTCAATTGCTTAATGCTTTCGCCCATCAATAGATACGATGCAGCCTTCTATGGGGCCAAATCGGATGTACTGCTCCGCTGAGCATTAGAGCACCGGATTTGTCAGCCATCCCGCTAGATCAATGTCGTCAATCTATTTTTAGACCTTAATGGCGGACAGAATTCAACTAGTCTCTGCACGCTATTGCAAATGCATCCGTCAATCTGATATAGAAAATTTAATGTTTGTTTTCATCGATGCAACGCCATATAATTATTGTTTGTGTTATATTTTTTTTTCTCTTTAATTATGAGACATATTAATACTGATAGATTTTTTTCCTCATGAATCAATTTCAATCTTTATCAATCCATCATTTCTAGTCTAATACATAACCGGAAATCATTCATAACATTTTCCAGAATCCCAATTTTTCGATTTTTATCGATATTTTTATCACAGTTACTACACAAAATAAGGAAAATCATCATAATATGATATAAATAATATATATAGAAGTAGTTATATAGATATATATGGATATATATTATTCGTCTTTATTAATAAATAAAATGCTTAAAAATGCACAATAAAGTGTGTTAAAAAATGCATTTAAATCTTAAGAATGCAAGCCCTATTTTTTAATTCCTTCTATTAGCTCACACTCTCCCTATATATATCTTGTTCAAATTTTCAGTCGTTCATAAAATACCTTTTATTCATCCACTCAAGTTCAAATGCATTTTTTTTGAACTTGTAGTGGATGACACTGGATGTTAATGCAGTTTTTTCAAATAATAATTCAGTAATTAAATTTAATGAATTAATTATAGTTTTTTTGTTAGATTTAAGTTGCCTATATCTACCAATAGATGGCGCCAGATAAAGTTAAAAAAATGAATGAACATTATTTATAAAGGACTTTCGGCAATAGAGTGAAAAAAAGGTAGGAATTGACTTTAAAAAAAATATTTTATGTTACTTGTTTTTGTTTCATTTCTGAATTGAAGTAATACATCCTTTAACAAATAATAAAATAAAACTAATTAACAAAAACATCCGTACCCATGACGTAGTGGTTATCACATCCGCCTAACACGCGGAAGCTACCACGTACGAGACCTGGTGGATGCAAAAGATAAATATGTTGGGGCCTCATGGCCGAGTGACTAGCGCAGTGGCGCTCGGTACCACAGGGTTCGATATCGAGTCCTGTGTTTGCCATGTAAATTTGTAGTGGTTCGGAATCCATTTTAAACCCTAGGTCCCTGTCTAATATAACTGTAGATCATTGGACGTAAGGCTGACAGCCCTGTCCCGTAAAAAGAAAATATCTCCTGTCTCAAAATCTCCCAGTGAGCAGAAAACCTTGGACCACCATGGAGCTGTTGCACCAATGAAGAACTTACAAGAATTTTTTTATTATTTCACACTCTAATACCTCAGTGAAACCCAATACTCTACATTACCTTCTCTAAAAAAATGGTCTTTAACAGTTGCTTCTATATCTACATATTGCATAACTTCAACTGCTTAAAAAGGAAACAGAAAGAAAAAGAATTTTCAGATGCTGTTGCAATAAAATTTTTAAAACTCGAAAACGTTTTATAAGCAAAGTAAAAATATGTACAACAACCAGCCTAACAAATACTTAAGTTTGCAAATGTATGTATGTACATCAGGAAACCACGTAAAAATTAAAAAAGTTTACGGTTTCGTGTTTAAAAATCCACTATTAAGCACTTAAATTATTTAAGTCCACAGCCGACTAGAATTTTTTTAGAATTCTTTATAAAAGTACTCAAGAAAAACTTAATCTACTTTTGCATATCACTACGTTTTCCTAATGGGTCTGATGCGTCTTTTAAAACCATTCGTAAAAGACATACATTAATATATCGCGCATACTTTAATCGCTTAAAAAGGAAACAGAAAGAAATCAAAAATTTTCAGCTGTTGTTCCAATACAATTTTTAAAACTCAAAAGCATTTTATACGTAAAATAAAAATATGTACAACAACCTGTCTACCTAATACGAAAAATAGCAAATGTATATACAGCAGAAAATCAAGTAAAAATTAAAAAGCTTTTTTTAACTAATTTTAGACACGAAACCATAAACACTCAAATCATTTAAATCCACAGCCGTCTAGATATTTTTTAGAATTCTTTATAAAAGTACTCCAGAAAAACTTAATATATATGTCTTGATTTTATTCTTAAGTTAAAGTCTGCTCAACGGGTTAGACGGTTGGAATTAACATATTTCTGAAATGGAATTTTGAAGTTATTCATCGATATTTGGGAGCCCTATCGAAGCCCGGATCGATACTGGCGCACGCGATACAGCCATCAGAAGACCATTTCTCATAAGAGAATCCACTGCAGTACTCCGCACCCGTGCTTAAGCAGGGGAGCACACTTTATCTTTAAGAATAAGACATGGAACAATTTAGTTAAAGGAAATGCTCCGATTTCTATTTTGAGGGCAAATTACTTCCCCAGAACTATTACTTTTGTGCTAACAGAAGTACAGCATCAAATTACTGTGCCTATAAAAGAAGCTGATAAAAATCGTAGAATAAAATGCGATCTAACTGTATGGAAACTTTAAAGAAATCAAAGATTTATAAATAGAAGTACAAATGTTCAATAAATGCAATATGTTGTTGTTCTAATGCAGCTGGAAATACAGAGACAGTTAATGTTCATGTCATAAGCAAAGGCTGCACCCCTGTTACTCATTTGGTACTATCCTACCAGCTCGAAGATATGCTATGAACGCGACTAACACTACCCCATAACGCTCATATTAGAGCGGGACCTTCGGTTTAATGTGGATTCTGAACCACTGCAAACATCCTTGGCACCGCCGGGACTCAAACCCTAAACCTGTGGCACCGAGGGCTACAGCACTAGTCACTCGATCTCCAATAAATGCCATATAGTACATTAGTACTAAAACATTACGATTGAAATTTTTAGAAGTCTTACTATTATAGTAAGTTTTTTTTTTTTTTGTTGTTGTTATTCTAATGCAGCTGGCAAACACTTAGACAGCTTGGTCTTGTGTACCTTAAGGCAAGCGCTGCACAGACGTTACTCACTTTGCATTACCCAAAGGGCACGTGTAACTTGAAGATAAGCCACGGACGCGGAGTAAAAATGCCCCCGCAACATTCTACGATCCTATTAGGAGCGGGACCTAGAGTTTAAAGTGGATTCTGTACCACTGCAAACATCCATGGCACCGCCGATACTCAAACCCGAAACCTGTGGCACCGAGGGCCACAGCACTAGTCACTCGATCTCCAATAAATACAATGTAGTACATTAGTAATAGAACATTACGATTGAAATTCTTAGAAGTCTTATTATTATAGTAAGCTATTGACTGGCAGAATTTTTTTAGACATCGAATGATATAGCACGATGACTTCATATTTAATGCATTGATCAAAACTTCCCAAACAATTTCATTTTAATCCTCAACAACTTTCTAGGTAACAGAAGATTCAATGTCTGCATACAAGAAGTTTTAAAATTACAGATATATATCCAGGGTATTGTTTTGGGGCCTATTTTATAAGCAATGCACATCTACTGTTTCCACGGTTCATCTCTAACCAGGCCTTGTTGATCGTCTTACGCATGGGCTGCCTTAATGCATCGACCTAATAATAATCACATAATTTCATCTCTTCAAAACTTACCTAATATGCTTGAAAAATGGATAACTAAATAGAGAATTCCTGTAAACACAGTAAAATTGAATGCAATTGATTCTTGATAATTGGCCAAAAGAAGACATACCATCGAAAAAATCAAATTATCATCACCGATGCATCCATTCGATAAATAAGGGAAATCACGTTTTTCGTAACAACTTTAACATAGAAGATGTGGAAATATATCACATAATTACCCAGAAAATATTTCACGTGCATCATAAATCGGACTACCTCAGCAAACAAGTCCCATTCGTTCACATTAGCATGGATGTTTGTGAGTGGTTCGGTCTAATTAGCCTAAAGTGAGCACAAAATAACCGTAGAGCAACAAACAAAAACCTCAAAAGAAACGTGGAGGTTTTTTCATCCATTTCAATTTATATATTAATAGAAATTCAGAGATCCAGGAAATATTAGAAAAATTATAAATATACCAAATGATTTTATACAGCCTTTGAGGTTTAATGGTTAATTATGTATGTAAAGACTTCATACACTAAAGAGCATATAAGTTCTTTTCATTTTCAAAACTGCAGAGATCACAGATCTCACTCACTCTATCTTACACAGATTTTGTCATACCATCTTGGGAGAATTTTATAGCTAAATTTCTTTACAGAATAGGATGCTATGTAGTCTAATATCAACGAAGCAACGTTAGATCGTGTTTGTAAGGAAAATAATAACTTTTGAGAAACTATGTGTCCTTTCTTCGCATTGTTGTCAAGATATTGCCAACCATACATCTTCAACTTTTCTTATTTTTATTTTCTGTCGAAACAATTTTGTACCAAGCCCAAAATTCAAATTAACATATTGTATGTGTTGTTGTTGTGTCTAATCCTCGGTGTCCGGCATTGAGGGACGGACATCCCATGAGTAGTCTATTCATGGAAGGGGGGAAACGGGGAAGCTTCAGTTGTAATGGAGCACCCGTAGGTAGAAGTCTGACTTGGATCAGTAATTTGTTAGATAATATTCATTCACATCTTCAAAAAGAAAAGTGGGGATTTTTTTCTCCATTTAATTTTATGTTAATAGAAATTCAGAGACCTAGGAAATATTAGAAAATTATAAATATACTAAATCAAGTTATATTTGAAATACATAGTCATTGAGGCTTAATTATCTACATAAAGATTTCATACATTAAAGAACATATAAAATTTTTTCAATTTTTCAAAACTGCAATTCCATTCCATAAGATATTTTAAATTTTCAAAATGGAATTTCATGTTATACAGATTTTGTCATACCATCTTGGAGGATTTTATGGTAGAATTTCTTTACAGAATAGGATACTATGCATTAACAAAGCTATGCTAGATCGTGTTTGTAAGAAAAATAATAACTTTTGACAAATGAGTTCTTCCTAGTGTGAAGATATTGCAATTCATAAATTTCCATTGTGTTTAAAATTATATTTTTCAGTCGGAACAATTTTAAACCAAGCCTAAATGCATACAGATATTTAACAGTGTCGCTGAAAATTAAACCCCACAAAAGCTAGTTATAGAAAAATGGTAACAACGAAAGCATCTAAATCCGTCAGAATATGCAAGAAACAAAAAACACATGGAACTGCATCACAATATCATTTTGCTGTACCAATAAAAGTAGAAGAGAGAGGGTGGGGGGTGGGGGGGGGGTGTATGGAACATCTCGAACGGAAATTAAGAATGTTTCATTCCAGATTACGATGTGAATGGAAGGAGGAAATCACGTCTCCTGCATACGCTTTTCAAAAAGGACAGCGCCTAAATGGTTTCTCTTTGTAGAGTTGTGGAAGAAACCTTACAAGGAGCAAATAAGGAAAAAGAGAGATTCCCTGTCGAGGAACACATCCGATTTTTATTGCTTTTCAGATGAGACATTGATTAAGTAAGGAATGGAATTCTGAACGCCTTTTAGAATCGTTCATAAAAGATGCACCGACACTAAAAATTCATTCGCTTCAAAAATGGAAAAAGCACTTTCAGAAAATTGCTTCAGGATACGAATTGAAAAGAGTGGATAATTGCTAAATATGCAGCAAATAACAGTTTTTTTTTTTTTTCGCTGATAGGGAATGGCTAATAAGAAACTGTTATTAAATAAGGGTAGGCCGTAAAAACATCTACATGAATTCTTACTAATTTTCAAACCATTGGTAAGAGATAGATTGATGTACAGTATAATTGTTAAATATGCTGCAATACAATTTCATACATCAAAGGGCATATAAGATCGTTTCATTTTTCAAAACTGCAGGAAGTTCCATCTTACACAAATTTAGTCATAATATCTTGCAGGATTTTATGGCCAAATTTCTTTACAGAATAAGATGCTATGCTGTCTAATATTAAAAAAGCAGATTTAGACAGTGGTAGTAAGGAAAAGAATCACTTTTGACAAACTACGAG